TTTTAGATCCTTTTGAGTTTAGGGCTAGCTGGTCCTGCATGGCTTGAGTCAGTCTAGAGCACATCCTGTGCAGAGAGCAAGAAAGTGTTTTGTGTCAGGGAAAAGCAGAACAATCATTGCTTAAGTCAGTCTAGATCACATTATACACGGGCAGTAAAAAAGCGCTGGGGGTCAGGGAAGAGCAGAGCAGTCTTTGGGCCAGTTCTTTGGCAACCAACTACTGAAGGATTACAAGATGTTGAAATCTTAGGGGATGACCCCTGAGAGCATAATGGAGGATGATGGTGACTACACTTGCACAGTCTCTTTAAATACAACCCCACAGCCTACTCTTGAGTTACATTTCTGTAATGCTACCTACAACTGTTGCCCCTATGCAGAAAGGTTCTCTTAGGCCCATATATCAGCATACTCACAGGTTGTACTGATACAGCTGTCTTGGAATGAAAGTACGTATCCATTATGCTCATCAGTGTAGTTACATTGATGGAAAAGGTCCATGGACAAACAGGGAAAAGGAAGAGTTTCGTCTTGCAGTCCCACCTGATACCAAATGCCAATCTTGGCAGCACTGGCAAGCAGCCTTGACTTGTGAGGACCTCAAGAGTGGCAGACTGTGTTCAGCCTTGTTGAGAACTCATACTGGTTTACTGTTCATATAGCTGCTACGGATGTTTAGCCACACTGCTTTGCAGTGTGCTTTCTTTTTTTCATCCTCTTCCTTCCCAGGTTGTTGTAGTACTTGTGTGGTTTGACTTGACAGGTTGCTGTAAGGCCACAGAGGGAAGGACAGTTGCTCAGGTTTCCCTCCTGGAATTGCTGCCTTTTGGACCCTTTTACTTGTGATGTTCATCTACTGTAATGGTACCAGTGGCCTGTCTTCCTCCATAGTTCTTCTTATTGAAGACAGGGAGTAGTAGGAAGTAAGGAGACTTGATGTAAAGAGTTAAACGAGGGTCACTGGCACTGTGCTTCTTGTGCATGGATATATATGCAGTGAGAGGAGGGGTGATGTTCAAGTCTAGCTTCATAAGCTTTCATAGATCCTGACGTCCTTGGAGCAAAGCAACTGGGAGAGTCAGCTGGGTTAGAAAAGCGAACTGCATGTCAGTGTCATACCTTAGTTCTCTGGGGTAGGAAGGAATAAGATTCTCCATTCAATCAGTAGAAAATGAAGCTAGTAAAAAGTGAAGAGATTTTTCAAAGGGCACCAAGAAGACTTGGTGATTTAGACTCCTTTTCAGATCAGCTACCTGTCAATCCTTAGGTACAGCATATCTGTTTCTGTGTTAGACAGTTGGGGTTTGACAAATTCTTGAATGATCCCTGAGTAGTTTAGTGGAGTTGTTTTGGTTGTTCTGGTGGTCCAGATATTCCTTCTAGGACCATTACAGATGTTTGGAGGGCTCTTTACGAAATCCATTGTAGCAGCTGTGCATATTGGCTTCACTAGGGATGAAGAGGTTCTATGGTGTGTCTCTCAGAGTACATGCAGGACTAAAAGTAGCTATCAGGTGTTTCTAGTTACACCTAGTAAAAGCAGCTGAAGGGACGCAGAATGGAGCATTTTTTTCCCTGGTGGAACCTTTGTAGTCTGAGTGAGGAAAAGTGCCTCCGTTAATATAATGGAGCTGGTGAAGGTGGAGACAGCTTGTCAGTAGAGTTGCCTGAGACCTGTGTGTGTTACAGACCTGCCACTGTAGCTGTGTCAGCAGTCTGGCCATAGGCATGCTTACCTTAGGTGCCAGTTTTTGAGCAGAGCTCTGCTGACTGATACATGTCAAGGCCACAGGGTTTTGTTAGTTCAACCTATTTGGATAAAAAGCAAGAGGGGGTTAACCTCCTGCTTCTTACTCCTCCTCACAAACACACTCTGAATTGACACCGCTGTGCTTGCAGAGCGGTAATACACAGCTTGCCTCAGCATAAATATCCTCAGGTGACTGCTTGATGTCGTGCAGCTTGCCAGGATGTGTGTGTCATGTGAAGACCCTTCAGTGAAATGACTGATGACCTCGCCTGGTCACAAGCCTCTTTTCAGATGGGTTCTGATGCCCAGGCAGCTGCCTCTGGACGCAGAGTTTTGGGGATGCCTGCACCCTAGGAGTCCTGTTCCTTGCCTGTTGACACCTGGATGCCATCCTGAGACTTATATCTGAGTAGTCTGGTGTGGCAGTGAGACCAGTAGTGAGCTGCAATAATTTTGGTAGTGCATCTTTCTTCTGCTGTGTTATCCGGGGACATGGCATCGAGCCTTCATGGTGGGGGCCTGTCATTATTGGTAATAGTGACAAGGACCAGAGTTACCCAAACCCAATGCTGTACCAGTGGCAGGAATTGCTGTTAGCAGTAATGTTCTTATGTCACGGATTTTACATGATGTGTAGTCAGGTTATAGCCAGGACTGGGGCAGGGACACGTTTACACATTCAAATGTAAGTGATTGCTGTTGTGGACTGTGCTTTCGTAATTGAATTTCCTGTGGGTTTTTCTTTTTGCATACAAGTGTGTGACTAGCAGGACGGTGAGTTGCATGTTCTGCACAAAAAGTATGTCCTATAAACCCAGGTTTTATGAGGGAAGTGCAATTTTCTTTCGAGCTGGCTCCCAGGCAATCTGTCCCATAAGTAATCCAGCAGCGTCACCTGGTGGCTTGAGGGAGATGGAGCACTTTGTAGCTGCCTGGTCCCTACCAAAAGCTTATGCTGTCCTCGAGGTTATCAGTCTAAGTGATAAAAGCCCTGAGCTCTTGTGGGTGTCATCAAACCATTACTACTGGGAATCAGGCTGCCCGGGCTTTCTGGGCTGTGTGGCGACAATTAGGAAACTGAGCCTCTGTGCTAATATCCTGTGTGCCTGTGAAATAGTATTGTGTGCGTGTGTAAGTTAGTCACCTGTACCTCAGTGTGTGACTTGTATTCACTGGAGGTTTAATCATGTGGCAGGCTCTTCTACCCACTCCTCAGAAGCCAACTGTGAATAAGCTAACGTTAGGCTGAATAAGGAAGAAATGTGCTTGTGTGCATACTGTGCTTCTGCGTTGTGTGGGAGGGATAGTAGGAAAGTCTGTTTCAGAGAACAGGTGGGAAAAGTGGTAGTGTTTTGTGCAATGGTAGCTTTTGGCTTGTAGAGGTGCTTCCCTCTACAAGGGGATGACTGTCCCAGATCTGTATTATGTGAGAAGGTTTGGCTAAAACTGGCAGTAAAGACCCATGAGGGGGCTGTTGGGTTTGGCTCAGTGATTGTTTGACTCTTCTGTTTTCTAGATTGCAAAAGTGGAGAAATTGAAGCCTCTGGAAGTAGAATTGAGGCGTCTGGAAGATCTTTCAGAGTCCATTGTTAACGACTTTGCCTATATGAAGAAACGAGAAGAGGAGATGAGGGACACAAATGGTAAGAGACTGTACTTCTTCAGAGGTATTGATCTCTAAGACCCCTTACTTCTGTCCTCGTAACACATTCAGCAGAACACATTCAGATCAGGCAGTTACAGTGGTCTCTGCCTGTTCCCTTCTTAATAAGGGAAAACAGCTGTCTCCATTCCTAATGTGAACTTCTCTGTACCATTTAATGTTGCTCATTAACCACAGTTTCACCTTGTTCCCTCTCATTATCTATCTTGTTGTTCCTTCCACTTTTATTTTCAAGTACTGCTGGTGCTTGGGTGCCCTTACCTTCATGCCATATGATACCTTGCCTTTGCAGTTTCACAGGGGTGGGGAGAGAAAATCCTAGGAGCTTTTCCCTCTTGAGGTGCATCCTGTGATGTCAGACTCCCATGCAATGGTTTGTTGTCTGTTTCAGAGTCGACAAACACCCGAGTTCTATACTTCAGCATTTTCTCCATGTGCTGTCTCATCGGACTGGCCACCTGGCAGGTTTTCTACCTGCGTCGTTTCTTCAAGGCCAAGAAACTGATTGAGTAAAGGAGCAAGTCCTACTGCCCCTCCTCTCAGCCCCAGCTGGACATCGCTGGGACCCAGCCATGGCCCCTTGAAGCCATCTCACAGATGATAGCCACTGACTGGAGCTTTTCTGCTGATACTTGGACCCTAAAGGGGGAGGGGAGCCTAAACATTGGAGGCAACAGGGGACTTGTGAAATCCTGTTGGATATTGAGGGTGGGGGAGGTTGTCATAGGTTTGGGAATTCCTGGGGCAGAGATTAAATAAAAAAGTTGTTTCCATGACAGCTGCAGCAAGTTTTTGCACTGTCTGTTCTCCTTTTATAATATTGGCTTAATTATGTCTCCCATCTGTCTGTGACCGTAGTGTTACTCTGAGCCACCTGACCCTGCTGAGCTGTTGAGGTGCCATGCAGCTGGCACCAGGGCAGAGTGGGGCTTTCCTGTTCTGACCAGCTGGGATCTAAGCCTCCTGCAAACAGGCATGAGTGCAAAACAATAGGATTCATCATTCTAGCAGGGCCTGAGGATAGAGGGGAAGTCCAAGGATTGGTCCCTGTTGTGGACCTCTGTGTTTCTCCCTGTGGGAGCCAGTGTCTTTGTGCTGACAGGTCAGGGCACTTGAGCATACGGTGATTCAGCCTGGAGGAAGGGGAGCCTTGGAAGGAGGGCTTGGGAATGTGTTTGAGCTGAAGGGAGAACCTTGCTTTGATCAAATAAGCTGTCCAGCCTTGGTCCTGCCCTTGCTTCATGTGTTTGTCTTGGATTTGCCTCTCTTGTTCAAAATGATTCAGCAGTTTTCCTGAAAACCTTGGTTAGGGTTGGCCTTTTGCAGACAGTACGCCTCAGTCAGATACAGGCAGAACAAGGAGGAGCAGATTATGCTTGGAATTACATTGGTCTTACATTGAGCAGGAGACTTTTCTCATCTAATAGTGTAGCGTTTATCCAGCAGGCAGCTGGCTGAATCTCATTATTTTGAGACCTCAAAGCAAGGTGGGCTGCTGCTCCTGTGAAGCATGAGGACCTATGTCCTGATTTGAGGTCTGAGGGTGCAAGGGGTGCTTTGCAACTTGGCAGAGGGATTGTTGGAAGAATGTGGATGAACTCAAAAGAGCAGTACAGAGTAGAAACACGATAATGCTGTCAGATGGGAGGTGGCATCTGAACGGTGCTCTCAACAGAACTGTTACTCTGTGTGCTAGTACAGAGAGGCTATCCAAATGGCATGATGTTAAATAAGCCAAGCTGGGGGGGGGAAAAAAACAAACGGGCAGCTTAACTTCCTGGACTTACCTGATGCAGTTCTTAGGCAGTGATTAAA